TAGTCCAGGGCTACTCAACTATTTTCGCTAATGGTCCGTTTACAGAACTTCAAAATTACTGGGGTCCGGACATTTCAGAGAAATTATTTCATTATCAAAACGAAACACAATTCTTGATTTCGTAATGGCGTTTTAGATTGAATATGCCATTTAATATTACGCAGGTTAACATATTTCACGCAAAAATTGTAGAAGCTATACCTGTAAGACTGTTGAAAATTTTTTTAAATGAGGGAAGGCTAATTTATGTGAGCTCAACACCTGTTCGACTTTATATTCCTAATCTTGTAAAAATTTTTATCATACACTAATAATTAAAATGTATATGCAACTATACAAAACCACTTTTACCGACTTTCACCAGGCTTTAAGAGAGTAGGTGCAAACGATAACCCGAGTTTCAATGTGAAAATCTAGGGATAAACAGGTGATATAAACGCAGTAATCTGAGTTGGTGCGCCTGATTTATCCACATGGCGTTCAAAAACGCTGATAGCAGCCTAACGCAGAATGTTCAATGATAATTGTTTATTACTGCAATCAAACTAAAGCCCATGGTAATAATACTGACTATCACGTAATTTGATTTATGCCGAAGCCGCAACTGAAATCTGGCAATGAGAATGTAAAACAAGTCTCGGTAGGCCGTTCCTGACAGTCAGCATAAGTGAAAATGCGTCTGGTCGGCTGCGAAAAATGTAATTGTTACGACACCTTTAAATAATGCTGATTAGCCAATGGTACAGAAATAGACAAGTACGCTAATACTCGAGAAACATATTGGTATAAAGTCACAATTTTTTCGTCGATGGTTCATTGAAAAATGTTAATAGTATCAAAATCATCTAAAACTATAAAACGATAATTATGCTGCCAAAATAAATGAGCAGACGCGATCAGAATTGGGGTGTCGAAAAGTCCGGATTCGTACCGCGGTCCGCCAGTTGAGTAGCCCTGTCCTAGTCTTTCGTTTTGAAGAACAGATTTATGTTAAACAACCGGCTGCATGTTTGAATTATTTCGCGTTGGAATGGAAGTTTGAAATGCACAGAACAAAATTCCCTAATAACGAAAAAATTAACATTTGACCAAGATTATAAGCTATGCTACTATAGACAGAAATTTATTTTTCAAAACTCTCAATTTTTTCATCAAACTAGTTTTCCAATTTTTTCGATCCAATTCTAATATTTGTGTTCTTAGAGAATATTTTTGTAGATTCGATTGCATCTTGCAAATATGACACCTTGTGTTAGCCATAGTTACCCAGATTCAGGAAATTTGTAAACACATTTCGATAAACTAGAACAGGGGTGGGTAACCCATGGCACGCGTGCCGAACTTGGCACACGAGACCATTTATTTGGCACGCGAGCGAGACCTCGGAAACGAGATCATTCTCCTTCAGATAAAAAGTTCTGAGACAAGAATTATTTGATGAAACTAGGTGTTCGTTTATTCATTATCGTTTGATAACAGTTCGGTTTTTAAACTTTTTTTTTTCCAGGAGCGCTTCATTTATAAAAGTACCATCTTTGTTGTAAAGAGTCAGAGACTAATATGGCCGAAAACACCAAAGAACTAATATTGTGGCCCCGAACGCCGACATGCTTGGACCAGCCTGATGTATTTTATTGGATTTTTGTAGCAGTAATGTGCTTACCCTATATATTATATATTCGTGTTCAAGGTCTGTGCTAAACAAAAAATTAGGTGATTATCGACCAGTCCCGCGATCACGTCATACCTTAAAATCGCCGACTTGTTTAGCGGATAACGATTTTTCTGTGTAATATATTCAATCCATGTCAAGTGTAATATATTCAATCCATGCGAGCATTAAAAATATGTTTCCATAATAATTTAATTGTATTCTTCCCGACTCAACTCTGTGACGATTTACGGTATAATAAAACTCTATTACTGTAAAATACTACAACAGTCTGTGAACATGAAACAATTGATAAACTGTCAGATAATAAATAGCTTGGTTTCGAATTTTGCGACTTCGGGATTTTTCAGCTTTGTGCTATTCTTTTGGCATTACTGCCATTTGAGATTATTTTTAAGCCGTTATTATATCTTGATTCGATTTGTATTTCCCGATAAACGTCACTATGTGTGGCCAAATTTTGTGATTTGCAATGTCTAAAAAAGAATATAAAATCTGGTTGAAAGTTCATCTTTAGCATCCAATCACTAATGATTATAATGTAATACCTCGTTTTTGGCAACTAACACGCAATTCCCTGCAAGAACCCCGTGGAAAACGACATGCATATGTTGATGGAAATTTGCGATTCAGGGAATGAATGAATATCGACACAAGGGTGTCAACGGCTTAAATAGCACGTGGCGCTGACAAAAACAATCGGCGATTTAAAAATGAAATCGCACGTGTTATTAGCGACTTTTTTCAGTAATTTAAGGGCAAGTCCGCGCCCTCTATACTCCCACCCTCTCGCTACGCTTCAATCAAGAGCTGCAGTTTGATGTGAAAAGATAATAAAAATAGGACTCAAGTACCATCCTTGAACATTTTTACTACGATTAGACCATTCTTTAGGACGGTCTTTAAAAAGGGTCAACTATTCTGATTGAAACGCACAGAGTAGAAATTACTCAAGACTACAAGAACATCGACTTTGATAATATTGCGTTATTAGAACTTGGAATATTGAATCCGGCTGTAATAGTGCATGCGCATTCAATGTATCATCTGGGACAATGATAAACCAACTAGTTACCTAATGAATTTTCTACAAAATTGTTCGTAATTTTTACGTTAAACTAAAAAATTACTGCTGAAGAGGAGTGTAAATGTAATTAAAATGGCGCGATTGACACCGTGTTAATTTCATATGATTTTTGTAAAACAGTAATTGTATTTTACAACTACTGTAATGTTATTTTTTTATATTTTAAATAGCTGCCTTGCAGAGAACAGATGCGTGAGATCGGGATCAAGAATATATAGAACACTCTCCTTCAATTTCTACTTGTTAACAGGTATTGCTGGAAAATATTGCCAACAATAATTTATAGTCATTGGCCGAGAAAGTTAATCCGATCCAAATCCACAATATCAACCAATATTGAAAAAATAAATAGCCAAAAGATCTGCACTCTGGAAATAAGAGTCTCGAGCGAAAAAGCCGAAAATTCATTTCTGTGAATGAGTTTGGTCACACAGTTCATCACGAATAATGGAAATCAAACATGACATAGACGTTATACTCATATAAATTTGACAAAATTGATTGATTGATTGATATTTCGTTTTCATGGAAGTGGCGAAAATATGGGACCATGGTCGGTAAATTACCAATATACTCACAATTTCTGGCTATTTTTTGTGAACTTAGGTAAAATATAAAATTTCGAGAACGATACCCTCCGCAAAAGAAAATACTCTTTCAAAAAGTTCTTTCGTTACTCCATAAACTGGATGAGTCTTGGGAATTTTAAGGAACATGTTTCACTTATCAACCACATCATTCATGCGTGGATCCCAGCGCTCAATATTAGCAGGTAGTTTCGCATTACACGATTGGTATTGGTTTGGGTGGTAACGGTTTGCTTGAGTGCGGTAGATCCTGAGCGACAGGGTTGTTTCTGTGGATTTTCTAGTTTTAATTTGGACTAAGAATTTCGCAAGTAAAATTGTATGAAAATATACATCTTATTGTTGCAATATAATGAAACTAAATCTAGATTTCAGTCGGGTACAAGGTATGCATACATCCAACCTCTTACTAACCTAATAAATATTGCAATATAATGATTCTAAATTTAGGTTTCAGTTGAGTACAAGCTTTGAATACACCCAACATCTTATTAACTTAATGAATATGCAGGCATAAAAAATAAACAAAATCTATTTTCTTTCATACCGAATCGGTAATTAAAATATTTTGGCAACCCCCATGCGCACGATATTGGTCCAGCCAACCAACATTTTATTTTTACCAAAAGAGTTTTTATGCAGCTCTGCCAATGCGTCGACTACGACAGACCACGTTTAGTCTCGCAGTTTTGCTTTACAGCTGAAACTGGCGGTGACCTATTACAACCCACTTATAGAAACGTGATTTAATTTTTAATTTAAATTCTTTACAATACGTGCATAATTCAATGCGGGCCTTGTCAGAACTGTCAGAAACTTTTCATAAATCTGCATAATTGTTTTATTTCAAAAAAATTTTACTACTCATATTGTCAAAACAAATTAATGGTAAAGCTAATTTAAGATCAGCATGTCATCAAGAAAGACAAAAAATGCAATGCAGTGTTTATATATATTTTGTATTTCCCAACGAATAAGTCTACCCGCTAAATACGACGAGGCCCGTTTGTAAGCCTGAAAAAATTGATTTTTGCATATAACCTGCCAATAAGACGGGTAGTAAAATCGCATCAACATCGGAATCTAAAATTACCATGCAGAGACATTTGAGCGGTCGCCGCGTTTGCGCATTGGTTAAAATAGCCTATAATGACTTTTCTTATAGCGAAGTATTCAACCCATAAAAACTACGAGAATTCGAACTGTCTTTCAATTTCAATCTAATTGTGTTCAACCTAACTCGCGATTGCGTACACCATATAAGAACATTACCGATCTAAAAAAACACGGCAATGATTAGGACGTGGGGATGCTATCTCCGAAGGTATTTGATATTTTATAGTACGATTTGAATAATAAAGCGTCACCAACGTCTCGACCCCCTCCCTCCCCCCCCCCCCCCCCCCAAAAAAAATAAATCAGGCCAAAAATTTGGGTCTAGAAAAGCGACTCATTCGCCGGGAAATAAGGTATATAAAAATAATCAAAATATAAAACGGATAAACCATTTGCGTAACACTTGAAATTTTGTTTAGCACTAACAGTATTGAATATTTGGGATACTAATTTTTGAAATGCAAATCATATGACGAAATTACGAAAACAATTAAATCAATAATATATTTTTTAATTTATATACATGTACCAACAGAATGTCACGGAATAATTTTAAAATAGACGAATTATCGAAATTTTCAGAATTCTGTTCAAAATATAACTAAATGTTTCTTGGTGTAAATATTTACCATCTTTTTTGACAAGTAATACCACAAATCATAAAGCCACGACAGTAAGCCACAAATCAAAATTAAAAAATGAACAATATATCTTGAACCCAACAATTTCTTGCTTTGTACCCAATAATCAATAAAATTTGTCAGTCATATTTGTGACACCACCTATCTATGACACCATCCCTATTTTATTCTTATCTTCTTTCTCTTCTGAAGATACGTCTAATTGAGTTTTCCTGAATAAAAAAATAATATTTGTTATTCTATATAGAATATAAACAAATTTATCAAATAAATTCATAAAAAATAATATTCATATTTAAAAGATACTTCAACTTTGTATTTTTTTTTATGTTGAGATTCGAATCGTTTAAGTGTGGGTTTAAAGTTGTATGGGAGTGTCTAGTTGGAATATAACAGTACTGCAGCGAATGGTGTTTAAGTAAGCAACTCCTTTTGAATATAAATTATGAAAAATTTCTGTGATAAGTGTCGTAAACCTTTGCTTCAATTTTATTTTCAGCAATACCGTTATTAGTAAATGTTAAAAGCACCATATTCTAAATATGTTCAATGTGATATTTTTCTCTGAAATTTTCAATGCGACTCATTGTGTATTTATAAGTTTGACCTACTTATACTTTGAATTCGTGAATAGCTGTGCTGATCGGTGGATACTTGTAGATAAACATCGTTGATGCGAATTTTCAGCTAAAATAAAAATATGTCTTCAATTGAAATCTTTTTCATAAAAATAGTATTTCTTTATTAATGTTCCTCTTTGAATGGATATAATCAAGACCATTTAGTCTACATACAGCTTGTTAATTTAATTGACAAAGTCATGATATTTCTCATAGTATATATGGTATAAGAAGGCATGACACGTCAAACGGTGATTAAATTACGAACACTTTGCACTCTCCGTATTTCAAATAGTTTTATTAATTTTGGGACTGGACTCAGGTTTTGCGAAAGTGATTAATATGTAATTGACTTTTTAATATCAGAACCAGGATAATCTGTATGCAATATGAATAAACAGCAGAAATGAAACACGTACTACTCATCCATTATTATTTGAGCGTTTATTAATTATGTATATATTTAGCATCACACAGAAATTCGAAAATTATGGATGATAACCTAGAAAGAATAAAACTGACAGCTAACGTATTTTTAAAGTGAATTGAAAAAAACAATATAAAAATGCTTATTTGAATCATATTACATAGATCAAACCAAAATAGAAGCAAAAATATTTATAAAATTGTTACATTCACAAATTCAATATTAGATGGCGGGCTAGATTTAACGCGACATTCAGATGGCGCAAGCTGTTAGAAAAATTGAACAACTCAATCTGTCCCACAAAAATTATTAATTAGTATTAATATTAATAAATTAATTAGAAATATTCAAAAATCTTTCTCTATTTCAGTTTGTTTACACCGTTTTTAAATACGTCCTCAGTTTTGGATATATTTCATGATAATGGAGAATATGATATTAGCCGAACTACTATAAAATAATAAATTAATGTTACTTTCACTGTGATTCAATTTTTACTCTATTCAATTAATAACAGATCTATAAAGATATCCTTTATATCGTAAGTACTTACTTTTTTGTTTAACATTATTAAATCCGATTGTAGGGCATCAATACCTTGTTGGTCAATTTCCCAACCATTAAGATAAATAGATTCCTCTACTGTACTAAACAGTTGACAGAGGTTTTTGATGATAGTATGAGATGGTTTGAAGTTTTCTTCGCTCAGGATAAGTTGCTGGATCTGGATAATTTAAGATCAATCAGTCAGTGCATAATATAAAATTTGGATTCAGTTTTTCCTATGTTCAACAACAAAAAATTTATGAACGTTAGAGAACAAGAAATTTAATGGGATATTGGTTGAAATGATTATTTAAAATTTTAGTTCTTACTGTCAAAGGGGTGTTCATAATTCTTTATTCTATTTTATTTTTTGATGGGCTTGCAATAACAAACAAAAAAAAATACCCAATTTTCTTGTTGTAATATTCTATAACTTTATAATTTTGTGCTTCGAATTTATCTCGATAATATGTATTCTTATAACCGGTCTGAATTGGCGTTACGAAAAGATTTTCATGCCTAATACGGGATATTTACAATGACTTGTTCCAACTGGCTGCACTTATATGCCTCATGAGTGCACAAAAATGAGTCCTCGATGACTTAGCATGTTGTCTTAATTGCAATACACATTCCTATAATAAAATATCAACTATTTTCAAAGAATAAACTTGGAATAAACAATCATTCAATTTATCTCGATGCAAACTTTAAAACCCAACACAGCCGGATGGCATATACACAGTATTATTCATTCCTAGTCCAACTCTAAAAGGTATTATTGGTCTTTTACAGTTATTGTTCTATAGTAGAGTCGTATCTTTCACGAAAAAGAGACTCCAGCTTGTCCGAGAATGCCAGTTCTATAAATAGCATCGATTTGAAAATTGTCCTTCAGACATAAAATTGTTGATGTGACTCAGACGGGAAATTAACTAAAATAAACTCTATTATAATGGCTTAGTATTGGTTTATCATGTACTTCGAGTCATACATTCCGTCCCTGGCCATACTTGGTGTATGTATAAAGAATTTCTAAAGGTAAAAAAAACGTAAAATTAATGGTAATTTTCACACGTAACCTTTCTTGCTATAATAGTGGTTTTGGTGTTGTTCTGTTGGAAAATAACACAAGAAAACGTTAAAAAAAAAATTAATTAATTAGGTATAATTATTATCCCTCTACTAGACACAAAATCTCGCAAGTTCAATAGAAATTTTGGAATTTTGGCGCATAGACAAATTATTTTTAGAGGAGTGCGTTTTAAACATATAGAATAGAACTCTAGCACGCGCCATTAAAAAGCCATGAGTGAAGGTTTAGGGCCTAATGGTTGACAAAAAAATAATTCATGTAAAATGGCCTCAGAGCGACCAGTTGGAAGGAATCACATTATTATAATACGTTATATATATTTATTTATACGCATTTACGTGATATTTATTTACATAATATCGAACAGTGGACATTTTGGATGATAATTTTTTACTTTTATTACGTTAACACATTCTTCTAATTTGCAAATTAACCTGAACATATAAATCGAAATATAATCGTATATCTTATTTTCCTTTGAAAATAAATTAAACCTCATGAGACGACGGTGTATTTGGTGGTGATTCACAATTTTACGGTTTCTGATTAGTTTATGCAGTTTTTTGTCACCGATGCGTCCAGAGTTTGCAATTAAATTTAGATTAGTCAATCCACAGCAGACTTTGAATAAACAATGAAAAAAAGGTGTTCAAAAAACTAAACGTCATAAATACGAAATATAAGCGAGAATTACAAGTGAGAATGTCAGAATACTCAACGAACGTTTTTAATTTATCGACAAGGATTAAATTGAAACCGCTATATCATTTATTTTATTGCACGTAAGTGTGTAAGAGAATTTTCGAATATGTGCATACATGGAATGTAAATACGAGACTTGTTGACTAAAAAGAAGGAAAGACGCTAATAACTAATAAATAAATTTTATATGACGTTTTACACGCCGTTCACATAGAAAAGCAAGACTCTTTATGAGAAGCCATAAGATAAAAGGCATTATCATATTTTGGAATGACCGAAATATTTCCGTTTATGCAATGCTAACTAAATTTCTCATACTCTGGAGGAGGTGGTGGGAAGAAAAATCAAACGCTGGTGGATATTTTGTTTCGTAATTTTATTACTTACACACAAGTGTCACCTATAATCTTATATTTTATTTATTTACTTAAAGTTATTGAAGAAAGTCTCGTTTGTGTTTCAAGATGTTAATATGTTGGGTATCAGCAAGATATACAAACCTATAGTAACAATCAATCACATAATGAACTTTGACCCCCAGCATAAGTAGCCAATCAGATTGATGTTCCAGATTTGTCGTTTTTGATGACGTTGTGGCCAGATAACAGTTTTAATAACGGTGGTGACCGCGTTAAAAATACTTCTCACATAATATTTTGTCCCAATCGATAGGATATTTATTTTTCCAACAAATTTCTGAATACTTTTGCGCACATTGAGTGATTTAACTACAAAAATAACTACTTGAACTATAGAAAAAAACTACAAATTATACAGCCTTTAATCTTGGTAAATGATAGTGTAAAGCAGAGTTGGATCAATTGTAATTTGTAAAAAATGTAATTAATTACTGTTTTTTATGTAATTGTAATGTAATTGAGGCATTTTCATTCTGTGTAATTGTAAATGTAATTTTAATTTGCTAAAATTTTGGCTCAATTATATCAGGGGTCACCAAACTACGGCGTCCTTTCATCTGTCTCGTAATAACACAAAAAAGAGCGAAATAATTTTCCAAGGGGCGTTTTCTGAGAATCGCCTTCCTTTTTTATTTCGTAACATTAGCCAATCAGCAGAATGCGAAAAAGTGACGTAACAATATGTCTTTTCGCATCCGTTAAGACACTCAGACAGACTTTCAGTCGTGGTTGTAAACAGTACTTCATTTCGCAATTTCGAATGGTTTTCGTTAGTTTGCATTTTGACAAAAACCCATTAATGTATTGAAAAAAGAAATCAGAAGAATTTCCCAGGCTTGCTTCATTAGCCAAGGATTATTTGGAACTAATAGCAACATCATCCCCGTCAGAAGGAGTTTTTTCAATTGCGGGTAACTTTTATACGGCAAGAAGAAATTTATTGTGATCAGAAACTTTTCACAGTCTAATTTTCATCAAGTGCAATCCAACAGTTTTTGAGCAAGTGAAACTGAAAATATGAACCAAAATTTTATTGGACAAGTTAGTGGACACAATGATCGTTTTGACCAAAACTTTTGTTATTTTGTGTTGTTGTCCTTGTTCTTTGACATAGTTATTGGAAGGTCGCTTTTCTTTTCGATTACTGGATCGAATGCTCTAAAATTTTCAGTGGTTGAAGATGGAATTTTTTTCTAGAAAGATATTACTTATTTTTATTTCTAAATTTCGTATAAAATCTGATATTTCGCTGTATTATTTTATCCATGAGAACACTGGCTGTCTGGTTTGATTCTTGCTACGCTAAACTCGGGAATTTTTTTGAGGGTATTGTTAGCGTCAAGGGTAAGGACTGCTTCGCTTTAAGTAACGTGTCCATATATTTGAGTATTGCTTCGTTGTAATTGTAAATGTAATGTAATTGTAATTTCATATTTTTTGCACGAAGTAATTGTAATTGTAGTATAATTGAAAATTTTGAACTGAATTAATGTAATTGATCCAACTCTGGTGTAAAGTTTGCCTGAAAAGATAATGTAATTTAAACACACTCTAAATAGCCTCATATTTGAATATACATGGACATAATAAAAATGCCAACAACAAGTTTTCCGATTCTTACTTTTAATCCTAATTCAGTGGCTCCCCCCGCAAATGCATTCATTTTTGCACTGGACAGACTAGAGTTGTGAATCCTCACGGTCGATGCTTCTGAGGTTGAGGCAACTTGAGCGAATTCATGGAATGCTTCGGACTCCATGGTCTTGTCTACTAGGCTTAAACGATTGATCTGTAAAATAATTATTAATCTATCAACTTCAATATAACGATGCACTTTTCCTTGAATCCAATATATACTGTAGCCCAGCGGTTCCCAAACTATGGGTCGCAAAAGGGATCTTAGTGGGTCGTGAGAAGATGTAGGAAGCTTTGATAAATTATACTGGTTATTAGAATCGGTGGCGACTACGCGAATCTTGAAAAAAAAATTGAATTGAAATTCTAATCTGTGAAAGTTTCCTTCTTACGATCTTTTCAAAGGAACAAAAATTTGCTACACAAAGAATGACCATGTGGCTTTTTTTTTACGCACAGCAGTTTTGTACACTGTATAGCACTTCTTACCGTGTTTCTCCAAAATTTAGGCAGGATTTAGATTTATTTTCTTTTGAAGATTAACACTATGTTTTTTTTTTTTTTGGAAGAGGTCTTTTGTGTTCATACATTAAAAATAAAATTACATTGTAGAAAAGCACGAGAGTTTTTATTAAACATTATATAAAAACCGACATCTATTGTTTGTATTTGTATTTCCTATAAAAAAATCAAGTGACTAATATCATAATTGTGATATCACACAATCTTGAATAGCGGTGTGATCTCCACCTTACCTCAGGTTATTGAACCTTTTCTCTCCAACACATTTTAAATTTATTTTAAGGGTAGGGTTTAATTAAAATAATTTTTAAAATTCAAATTAAGTCTTATTTTTAGGACAGGTCTTATTCTCGAGGAAACACGGTAGTTTTGCGAAGATTAGCCATTGCTGTGTTCTGTGTTATGTCATAAAAATTGAATGGATCGCCATAAGCAGTGGTAATAAATAGTGAGTCACAACTCTAAAATCTTTGGAAACCACTGCTGTAGCCTATACTGTGTAAGGCTTACACAGAGACAATGATGTATTCAAAATAAAACCTTCAAAATACAAGCTTGCTTTCTTAATTTATGTTAGCTAAACTATAGAGATTCAATATAAAATATTGTCTCAATTGATATCGTGGATACTAGTATTGAATTAATTTTATCATCATCTACTGTGATTAAACTACTAAAGTAGACGCAATGTTACGAAGTATAACATTTGAATCAAGCATTATGTTGTCAGTGCGACAATTGCTTGCAATTGCTTGCAACTCGATTTATATTGTCACGTGGCAAATTCCTATAAAAATCTCAGCCGTTTCGATTAGATTTGTCATTGTTGTTTTGAATGGCCTTGTACTTTATACTTTATACAATACTGGCATTTTTAATCAACTCCCAAAATTATTGTTCCTCAAAGCTGAAATATTGTAATTTCATTGCCTCACTACCGTAGACTTCGAACGACAATCTCAAATTACAACTGCCTAACAAGTTTTGAAATGCAACAAGTCTAATTATTGTGAATTTTAATACGCTGAAAAGTCAATATTGCAGGTAATGTGCGCAGTGCGCAGGTAATATATAATAGTATTGAGTGGCACATACCGGGGCTACGATATCTGTGACATGAAATCTTGAGATCGATGCTATTACCTGCCATTTTCTGACAATACCGTGGACTTCATTTGCTTTGTTACACGAGGCTTTTTGGGATATCCCATATCTCAAAGCACCTAATACTAACAAAATTTGTACGGATATTTACAAGTCCAAATAAACATTCGAACTTACATAAATCAAGGAATCGAGTCAAGTTGAAAGGATGAATAAATTTCACAATACTACAAAAATGCAAAACGAGCTACGTTCAGTGGCGGATATGTGGCTTGGGATAAAACATATTTGTGAATAATTTAGAAGAGCAAGCATGAGCCATGATTTCCATATTGCTAAGGTTACTTTTTAAATAAATCTTTATCACATTAAATAGCGTACTTTTCAACTGATCGAATTTCAGAACACATTTTAAAATTAATTATAATTTCAATCACACAAATATTTCTGAATTTAAAAAAATTATTTAATGAGTTCCTAGTTTTTTTTTCAGCTTGCTTTTTATATTTTGATAAATACACTTTTTATGCACGCGTGTATAGAAAATGTAATGAAATGGACTCTGGTATGATTTCAAATTTAGATATGAAACAAAAATTAATCAAAAATATTCTAACTTCTTACTTTCAAACCAAAATCAGTGGCTCCTTGTGCAAATGCATTCAGTTTTTCTCTTGTCAGATTACAGTCTTCAAATTGCACTACTTCTGCTTTTGTAGTTGAGGCAACTTGAGCAAATTTATGAAATGCTTCGGACTCCATCGTCTTGTCTGATAGGACAAAGTAATTGATCTGCAAAATTAATATTAAAATTACTATTTTGATTAAAGAAGTATACATTCACATTTTTCCATTCACAACATCCAGCTTTGCAATGAATTAATCGCAGACAATAAAAATTTCCAAATCTCATTCTCTCAGCTTCACCTGGGTGTAATATATTGGACTAACAAAGTCGAGCGTAAAAATTTAGGTCTTTTCGAACTAGAGTTGGTTTTATAAACATGGTAGTGGCTGCTTGTTCTGAGCCTTGTTTGAAGCGAAACTGTTTTTTCTCCCCATCTAAAGTTTTATTGACTTTGAAAAAATGTTTTCCAATTGTAGAAGAATTCAACTCTAGGACCAAAGTTTTTCCGTTCATGGAGAGGAATTCTGCTTTATATTCGCTGTAGTTTTACCAATAATTATTTATTTTTTCATTATTACTATATTACTTATTCGTGACAGATATTACACTACTCAAATTGTTCAAAAACGAGAGTTCGATTGCGCATAACACTAAGTTAAGGACCATTTACCACCCGGTCACGACAACGGTCACCTTGAATTAGGAGGATTGCAACATGAAAATATTAACGCCTTTGAAATTAATTCGTAGTGTAACATGATTTTGATGGAATGAATAGTTTTTATGCCAAGTGAAGGAGAAATGAAAAATTACAAAATAGACAAACGAAGAGATTAAATAAAGGTAAGAACTACTGCTATGAAGTTGGAAATATTTTCTGCTTTCCTTTGATTCAATTGAATTGTTTTCATGTACTAGAACAAATGTTTTGAACAATATTGATTAAAATAGGCTCAACGTAAAATTAAAAAAAAAAAAAATTATTGTAGCATACGACATCAACGATGTCATAGAAAAAACTTTTAGTAAACATACAAAGAAACAAATTGTAAAATATTGTAATACAAAAAAAAATAATTAGATTATTGTTTTGTAACGGCTTTACATTAGTTGAGTTTTATTAATCGGAAATATTAGGGATTGTAATGTGCTGAAATCTAAGGTTTGTTTGTGATGGAGCATTTTGCAATAACACTCAATACTATTTTAAAATTGAATTTAGATTAGTCAATCCGCCGCAGAATTTGAATAAACAATAAAAAGAGATGTTCAAAAAACTAAACGTCATAAATACGATATATAAGCGAGCATTACAAGTGAGAATGTCAGAACACTCAACGAACATATTTAATTTATTGATAAGGATGGAATTGAAACCGCTATATCATTTAATTTATTGCACGTATGTGTGTAAAAAGTAAGTAAGTGTGTAAGAGAATGTTCGAATATGTGCATACATGGAATGTAAATACGAGACTTTTTGACTAAAAAGAAGGAAAGACGCTAATAACCAATAAACGAGATAGCGATCGGAGACCGCCGACTTATCGATATTCCGCATGTTCAATATTGTACTCGACAATTTTGAAAAAGTACGATTTCACATGACATATTCTCGCAAATTGCTGAAACACACAGCAATATTTCATCGAAAATATTAAACTATTTGGTTAAATATTTGGTTGTTATAAATACTGCGTCGTGATCCGAATAATACGTGTCCACAATATCAACAACAATGCTGTCATCCGTACAATTTCTATTAAAATACATGTGATCAAGCAAAGACCCATAATCTGTGGTCGCTTCATTGGTGGGAATATATTGCTGGAAACCAAGTTCATCCATTTTTTCCATGACAGAAGATGATTGATTATGGAAGTTATTACCATAAAAATCTCCCGAGATGAATGTTGGATATCCTTGTGGTATGGTATGAAGGTCATTAATTCGGACAATATGTCAAGAAATTCCAACTGCGGAAAACTCGGTGGTCTGTAAATTGACAACAAAGTGAATTCTTTATTCGTGGGAGTTTTCAGTCGAATCATTTTTTGCTCAAGCACGTTCGAAGACGTTTTTACTTCAACGGGATTCAGTTTCGCGAAGCACAGACTAATAATCCATGCTTTCCACCATGGTTTTGTTCACTGGGTACGTCTTCTCTAATGGAAACGTAGTCAAATTTGTTGGTGAATTTGTCTATGTTGTGGCGTTCGGTCAAATATGTTTCTGTGAAACAGCAAATATCAGCATGACTGAAAATTTCACTCTCTGTATGAGATACTAAATCGTCCATCTTCTTTAAGAAGTAGTACCTTATGTTTAAATGACCTACCGTTAACCAATTTAATTTATTTAAATCTGTCATTCTGGGTTGACGTTGTTGTGCTATAGACATTGCACGCATGTTATTCATCACTTCAGAACACTCTGAACTACATCTGATAGTACAGGGATTAAATTCAGTCAGATACAAATTTTCCAACTTTCTGACCAGGGACAAAGCGACATAAACCTGCCCACAGCCAAATTTCTTTCCTTTTGTGTTGACGACAATCTTATTTAAAGTAATACCTTGACATTTATGAATCGTGACGGCCCAACCAAGCGTCAACGGAAACTGGTATCGGGAATCTTCGGCACCTTTGCCATATGTTTTTTCGAATTTGGCTTCCCTACGTGTTATCGGCACGAGGCGGGGGTGTTGTCTTTTCCATCTACTCTTAGCCATAGCTTTTCGTCCAACATTATCGTTGTCAAACTTAATCAAAATGCTGATTACAAAGTTTTTGTCATTTTTTGCAATATATTGTACGGTACCCATTACTCCATTCACCAAACCGTCTCTCGTGTCTATATTATAAAGCAACATGACTCTACATCCAACAGTAATTTCCAAGACAGTGCGCAAACCGTCGGTTTTGCATCTTTTTAACTTTAAACCAGATGCATGCAAACTAATTAAAGACAAACCCTCCCCTTTGTCATCTATAGCCGGTATCACAGTTTTTTCCGACTCACTTTGAGTCAACTCATTCAGTTTGAATAAATTCCAGTTATCTACGTCGTTGTTGTAAGCAAAAACGTGCAATGCTTCCTCGGGATAGTTGAGATCAGAATGAAGAATCTCCCTTGTGCGCAGTGTATCTATGTCAGCTCGTGTTTGATTTCCCAATCGAATCCGACACAACAATTCTGCAAAATTTTTATCGTCTTTTGACGCATAATTTCATCTAATTCGTGCAAGTGGAAATTATCATTCCAAAGAGAATGACCCAAGCGCATAGTTTTATCAGAAACGGGACAAAATATTTGAGACTGACAGACCGGAGGCAATTGGAACAAATCACCGACTGCTAAAATGGAGACGTTCAAAAATGGAGCCGCATTCCCCTTGGTCACTTGCAGGCGTTTGTGAATGTTTAAAAGCATGTCTGAACTTACCATGGAGATTTCATCGATAATTATTAATACACGTAATCTGCCAAGATGAGATCGCAAAGTATTCAGTTTTTCGAAGGATATGCCGTCGTGTCCACTGCTAACTTTCCTATTCGTTAACAGTAGTGCAGAATGTATAGTTATACCATCTAGGTTAAATGCAGCAACGCCTGTTGGAGCACAAAGGAGGCAATTTGTGAATGTTTAAAAGCATGTCTGAACTTACCATGGAGATTTCATCGATAATTATTAATACACGTAACCTGCCAAGATGAGATCGCAAAGTATTCAGTTTTTCGAAGGATATGCCGTCGTGTCCACTGCTAACTTTCCTATTCGTTAACAGTAGTGCAGAATGTATAGTTATACCATCTAGGTTAAATGCAGCAACGCCTGTTGGAGCACAAAGGAGGCAAGTTACATCATTCGGATCGACAGTTCTTGAAATAGCGAAATATCTTTTTGTATCGTGATGAATCAATTTTATCACATGTGATTTTCCTACTCCACCAGGACCACTTAAAAAAATTCTATATGGTTCAACCGAACCGTTTTCTTTAATTGCAATTAGGGCATCCTTGCACCACTTCCTGTGATGGAATACTATAGCCCTCTGTTTCTCATTCAAGCAGCGTATCATATTACAATATTCAGATGTAGACAATACATTTCTGTTTTTTTCGATTTCGTATCTCGCACCTATGTCACTTTTGGGAACGGCAACACGTTTAACACTTTCAATGATTGCTGAGTTGGCAGCAAGATCCTCTCTTATCATGGTGGTGTAAGGTGTATTACCTTCCGATTTATCTTGTTGATTTGAAAGATCACTTTCCATGCCAAGATCACCCCACAAATGAAGAGGAGGACCGTTCACTGAATTTTTGTGAACAGCTGAGTCAACTAATTCCACATTGTTGCAATACAGTGATTCCACAGCAGACAATTTGTCTTGTATTTTCAAATAATAAGATGAATAAGTTGGATGGTCCGCCAGCAGGTCGCGCTCCTCTGAACGCCACGGGAGGTATAACATCAATTTGGCACGGCAAAAATTGTTGAAATCAGTTTCCTTGTTATGTCTTCGATAACGAAATATACATACTCTTCTCCTTTTACTCATTTTCCCAAAGCCGCGCCTCAGTACAATATGTTGGGGTAAATCACAGTTGCGGCGCGTGGTCATTTTGACAACCGGGGCAAGCTACTGCGGGACCAAGTCACCCCCATCTACGGGGACAGGATGAGCGCTGTAAGTTCTCCCATCATTTTATGAGTATAAAAATCCTTCCATCGGTAACAACCAATCGGCAAAAGCGACAATTTGTAACGATAAGAAAGTGTCTTTAAAACCGGTCCAAGTCAAGGGATTAATAAATATAGACATAGTTTATTTTGAAACCTCTTTCAAAAGGAAAGGCAATATTTACCCAGATAAATACAATGACATATTAACAGAAACTTCGGGAAAGCAGACAAAACCTAAAATAAGGTTTAAAACGTTACTATGAAGAAAGGAAAGTTAATGCAAAGATCATAGATATATATGCTGCTAGACTTCTACTGCTTGAACATATATGCAACACGCCGCGGTTTCTTGGAAGCAAAATGCTCAATAACGCGCTGATTAAAGTCATGCATCCCAGAAATAACGTCTCTGTGAATGGATAAAACAGCCAAGGAATTTAATCTATCTTGCTTCATTGTGTTTCTGAG